TGGCTACTCTAAATCTCAGTTTCCATTTCTGTGTAATCTGTTCACTTGATGGATATTTACTGAGTGCCTATCATGTGCTGTGCATTGTTCCAGGTGTTGGAGCTGCAGGAGAGAACACAACAGAGTCCCTGCTTTCATGAAGCTTACATTTTACTGAGGGTAGAGAGGAGGCAGACAGCAGAGACAATGCTAGGCAATGCAAGAGCTAAGCAAAAAAGGGCGGAGAGAATGAATGGGCAAATGTGGGTGTGCTCTTTTCCATAGGAGGGCCTGTCTGATAGGTAGCACGTGAGCAGAGACTGAAATCAAGAGGAGGCTACAGCTTCAGGTGATCTGGAGAGAATAACAGAACATACCAGACAGAGTTATTATGAGGACTGTGTAATATTACGGATATAAAATCTAGCACCTGGCACATAGTAAACACTCAATATATGGTGCCTCTAATTGTTTTTATTTGTTGTAAGGCATGTTTGAATAAAATTCATTAGAAAAATGGAATTCATCACACTACCTTCATTTTGGGCAGGTTATGACAAGTCACAGCTTGGGAGTTCATACCTTCTAGACTCTATAACAGGTAAAAATGCCGATTTCAACCAAACCTAGGTTTCCAGGGCACTGGCAGCTAATAATAATGAGGAAAATAATACCTCAAGGCTCATCCTGCAGGAAGAAGTATGCTAAGTGTGATTTCTCACCACCCAACTTCCTTTTCAGGCTGATTAAGTCACTATAATGGTGAGTTCCCATTACCTAAAAAGGGCTCTGAGGGCTTGTTACTCCTGGGCAGCGGGAGGTTGGGAAAGAAGGGTGTGGAGGGTCATGTGAAGTAGAACTGCATAGAGACCTTGAGGTCCTTTTTTCTCCGTTGCTGAGGTCAGAGATCTGGAAACTCAATGTGTAAGTGTGTGTGGGGGGGTGGGGGGCAGTGGTAGGGAGGAGTGGGAAGGGATGGAGGGACGGAGAGAGGGAGGGGTGAAGTGAGGGATAGAGAGAGTAGAGGGAGAGAGAGATCCCCTGACCTGGAATAATAATGGCATTAATTTTTAAGACAATCATCTCAAATGCCCAAATGTATGTGTCTAAGTTTTAGAGCCCTAACTCTTGATTTTTAGTCCCAGTCCTGAAATAACCAATTGAACGATACTGGGTAAGTCATTTCCCCTCTCTGAGTCTGCATCAGGTTAAAGGGCTCAGACCCCAGAGAAAAGTATATCAAGGCTTGGTTCTTAGCCCCGCATGATCTTGGGTATGTTACTTAACTGCTTGGAGCCTCATCTGTTAAATGGGCATTTTAACAGTGAACTACACCTTTTGAGGTAGCTAGTACAGAGAGAGCAGCATGGTGCATGTGATATGGCAAATGACCAATGAATGCTAGATACCAGCATTTTCACCTGCTAAATACCTATCCTGCCCTCCTCGTTGGCTATTCGGAAAAAGAATCAAGGGACTAGGTAAGAAAACACTTTGTAATTTAAATGGTGCTTTACAACTGTAAGGTGTTATTATTAAATTATCACCACGATTATTGCATTATATTAAGTTATGATTTTGAGCAGGGGATATAGTTTTCATAGACATGCTTCCCATAGGCTCCTCTGGTAACAAGATTGATTTTGAAAGATTATCTTCTATGAAAGATAAAGTCACACTCTTGGTTTGAAAAGCGGAGCCTCTCAGCACTGAAACAGAACAGGGTCATTACACAGTGAGGATTAATTAGCCGTCGAATATTATTAAGTGTTCTCACTCTCAATACCCACATAGAACCGGAAACTATGAAAGTGAGCAAGAGGTAATCATAGCACAGGGAAGGAAAAAAAAAAAAAAAAAAAAGACACAGTTGCTGGCAATGCATATTTCAAGAGCAGAACATGTTAGTAAATTACAATCTGATTAATAGCACATCAGCTCGTTCTCTGAGTCATTGTTCTGAATCTAGTTCACAGTTGTCTGCTTTTTTTTTTTTTCTTCTACCATTGGGATCAAAAAGAAAAGAAAGCTGGACTTTTCAGTGTTTACTTTTAAAGAGTGCTGTGGTGTGGATGTTTATACTGAAATGCAGGATATTTGAAAGCCTAGGAAAGAAGAGGAGATAAATACAGATACAGGTATTTATAATTATATAGCAAACATAACATGTCTCTCCAAATTATTTGAGAATTGAAAATTTTCAAATAATGGAAAAATAACAGAGGTTCATAAAAGTGATAGCTCCAGTGGGCCTTAGGGATGACAGAGTCCAGCGACTGCAGAACCCCTATCTCAGCCACGAGGGGCAAGTGCTGAAAATTCAGATTCCTCTGGGTCTCCTCTCTGGGGATGGGTCTCGGGAATCTGCATTTCCCAGTCCTCGGCTTGGCAGCGTAGAAACCAAGCTTGGAGGGAGGAAATGGTTTTCGTCAGCCAGGTCACACAGCTGGTTAGTAAGAAAGCGAGAACCAGAATTGGAATTTTCCAGCTCCCAGCCACACCTCAGGGCCTCCTCCTCTGTTTCATCTGAAGTCCACTTTATTGGCATCACTGGCCTGGCATGGGGAGGATCTCTGCTCTCGTGGAAACTGAAATAAGCCTTCTCTCCTCTTTATTATAGGGATGGAATTTTCCCAGGGGTTAAGCACAGATATATGAAACCCCACAGGATGCCATAGACAGTAGGATTCCACAGTGGGGTCTACTGATGGCATTTGAGGAGTTCCATCCACATAGCAAACAAGAGCAAGGTAAAGTCTGCACAGAAGTTCATGGTATAAACTCTAAGTGGTACTTAATACAGTTGTTTTCCCCAAAAGATTGGCATGTCTCGAGGGGCAAAAGACAGTCTTATTCCTGTTATATTGCCAGGACAGTGTTTGCCACTTAGTAATGATCAGTGAGTAGTTTGTAGAATAAATATAACAGTATGAAAAGTATAAAAAAGAAAAGTAACATGAATTGTCTCATATATAAGCCTATTAGCAGTAGGGGGTAATAATAGTGATGATGATGATGATGATGATGATGATGATATTAACTCTAAAACAACAGCAGAAAACTAACATTATTGAGTGCTTTCTGTGAGCCACTGCTACACAAGCTGAGCTCTTTCTTACACAAAATATCGTACTGAATCCTCACAACAATTCCAGGAAGCAGTGACTATCATCATCCTCTTTATACAGATGAGACATTGGAGGCACAAGGTGTTCAAATGTAGCCATATGACACATGATTTTTTGGTCAATAACATTGGTTCCATAAGATTGTAATGCTGTATTTGTACTGTCCCTTTCTATGCTTAGATATGTTTATGTCTAAACATAGAAAGTACTTACCATTGTGTTATAATTGGCTACAGTATTCAGTACAGGAACAGGCCCTACAATTTCATAGCCTAGGAGCAACAGGCTATGCCGTGTAGTCTGGGTGTATAGCGGGCTTATGCCATCTAGGTTTGCATAAGTATTCTCTATGATGTTTTCACAACAATGAAGTCACCCAATGATGCATTTCTCAGAATATCTTCCCATCATTAAGTGATATATGACTGTGATATGTCCAAGGTCACCAGTGGAAAGTAAGGGAGCCAGAATTCTCACCCAAGCTGGACTGACTCAATGTTAATACTATTCACTACCCTATTTTCCAGCCTCCAAAACCCCTGCACATTCAGAGCATCAAGGCTGTTGCCACTTCCACCCAGTCTGATAAGGTGGACTTGCATGGAGGTTCTCCAGAGTTGAAGGTATAAGCTGATGAAGGAAACAGCATCACCAATGCTTGTTGGCTCTGAAGCAGCTCAGCTGAAGACCATGTGCCCATTAGTACAGGGTAAATACCTAATAGTATAGCACGGTGGTCATCAAAGAGTCTGCATTCAAAAAGCAACTGCTGAATAAGCAGGTGTATCCATAAATGAATTATCGAACAGATAAACAAGTGAGCTAATCAAACATACAATGACTATCTCATCTCAGCTTTGAAACATAGAGCAAGAACCTCTTTTCCTCACATTTACTTCACTGTCTCCCTTCTTACTTTTTGGTCTTTAGTAGGTAGAGCTGCTGGTGTCTGAAATCACATATTTTATACAGTTTTACAAGTTCCTTGGGGCTAGGGCTATATCAACATGAGGCTGCTTTACAGCTCACACTGAACATGTTCAAAACCAAACTCATCATCCAGTCCTAAACCACTTCACCTGACATCTATAGACTCTTCCCTTGAAAGTTCACCTTGAGAAATCCGTTTTTAATGCCACTTCCCTATGAGAACTTTTCTGGTCTCCAACAACCACAGGTAATTTCTTCCTCCTTTAATCTTACTATATTTAATGCCATAATCACTTCCATATTAGCCTTACAAATCCTCTTTCTTTATCAGACTATGTATGTCTGAAGAGCAGGAGGGAAGCTACTCAATCTAAGAGTAGAGACCATATATTGAGGACCAGCCATAGAGGAAGGGTTTTCTATCTTCTTGCATTTCTTCCTCATAAGTCCATGAGCAGTAGGTACTGTGTTCGCTGTTTTGCAGATGGAGACTAAAAATAACTTGCATGTTGAAAACTCAAAAAGGTTAAGTGACTACTGGAAAATTTGGGTAAGTGGTAGCATTTGAAGCCAGGTCTGTCAGATGATTAAGTTTGTGTTCTGAATCACAAGACTGCAACTTGCCATCTGGGTTCTCATCACTGTACCTTGAGTACAGAAGGTGCTCAAGACATTTTAGATACCGCGAACAACAGAGGCTAAGATTATAGTAACGTCTGGCAGTGGCCATGTGGGCAAGTCTTCTGGGACAAAAGGAAAAGCATGGATTTGTAGTCATTAGAGGGCTTGGCACCTTTCCTGCTCCTCCATCTGCCATGGGAGAGAGACTGGGGTAGGCTGAGTCTCTGCCTATGTTCCCTCACTGGTCCATTACAGTTGCAACCTACAGTAACAACCAGCACATGGCCAACCTTAGGAGACCTGCCCCTGATCGTGGTGGCCAGCACAGCCACGTGCACTCACCCGCAGGGTTGTGATGGTGGCAGGATCCCGGAGCCGGCCCTCCTCATCTTTCAGATTGTAGCCTTCTGGCCTCTTATCACGCTCGCTGACTTTCCACAGCTTCACAGTTTTATCTGTAGTGGGCAACCAGATTAAATCAGAATTACAGTGAAAAGCAAGCTTATAAGGGAGTTTTCCTGGGGGCAGTTGGGAGAGGAAGAGGTAAGTATGGAGAGAATTGCTACAGAAGCTGGCTCACGTAAAGGGTTGCTATGCATAACTCCCATGTCATTTAAAGGCAGAGCTCATATTTCAAAACAAAAACGTATATTATACTGGGACAAATGGTTTCCCTGACAATGGGCTCTTAAATCTATAGCTTATACTTTAATTTAGCTCATTCAATAGAAGCATTTATAGAACACTGAATAATAAGAGAAGTGACATACACAGAGCTTACAATGGAACTAAGCATTTTACATGAGAAATTGGTTTAATAGTCATGACTCTGGAGGTATGTGCTATTAATTATCCCTACTTTAGCATCCCACCTCACTGACATATTATCCTCACCATGTCCTAAAAGGCCCTTGATGACCTGCCCTCTCCACTTTCTCCACCTTTCTGATCTCCCTGTCCACCCTCTCCCTGCTTATTCTCTGGTTCTGCCACATGGCTTCCCTACTGCTCCTGGTCCACATTAAGCTCACTCCGGCCTTGGGGCCTTTGCACTTGCTATGTCTTCTGCCAGGAAAGCACTTTACCCTCTTTTTTATGTAATTTGCTCCTTCACTTTGCTCTTGCTGTTTGCATCCCAACCATAGAGAGGCTTATGTAAAACCTACCTAAAAATGCTGTCTTCAGAACCATTCTCTATCTCCTCTCTCCTGCTTTATTTTTCTTCATAATACTTTTTACTACCTGACAATTGGTTGATTATTTATCAAATAACTATCTGTCTCTCTCATTAGAGTATAACATTGTTGAAGGTAGAGACTCTGTTTATCACTGTACCACCAGCACCCAAAAAGTGCCTGGCACATAGTAGCTGCTCAATAAACATTAGTAGGGCAAATGAACAAATCCCATCTATTTACACAGGGCATATTTCTAGCAATATTTAGGGAAATAAAATGGTAAGGAGATACATCAAAATGCTCCTTTTCTTTTGCTGCCTTTATGGAGTCTCCAGCTGGAAACTATCTTTCTCACCTTTGTACTGCCCCAGCACTTTATATGACTTGATGACACCAGCCATTCTCCATAGCATTGAAACAGAGAACTCTCATCCTTACAGAATTCCCATGAGCACTCCCATCTCTACAGGGGTCATGCAGGCCAAAGAAATGAGTAAAAAGGGCTAAAGGATCTGTGAAGCTGGAATGGCCTGCCCCACACACAGGCTTTTAATTCCATTTTTTAAAGAGACATGTTCAGGCCAAACAAATCATGTCTGCTGGCCACACACCTTGGTGGGCTTTCCTTATCAGATCCAATGTACATTTTTTATACTTATTTTAACATATCTTTTGGAAGGCAGCAACTTGGTTGCCTTCTTTGTATCTTCCTCTATCCTGCACAAGCTAGGCTTTGGAATCAGACAACTTTGGGCCTAATCCCCACTCTGACACCAGCCACATAGCCAAGGACAGGGGTTCCCACACAGTAAGTACATAACTATTCTGTCTGTTTGTCCATCCATCCATCCATCCCTCCTTTCCTCCCTTTTTTCCTTCCTTCTTTCCTTTCTTCCTTCATTCCCTTCTTCCTTTCCTTCCTCTCTCCTTTCCTCCCTTCCTCTCTTCTTCTTCTTCCTTTTTTGAGATAGGGTCTCACTCTGTCACCCAGGTTGGAGTACAATACAGTGGCATGGCCACGGCTCACTGCATCCTCAACTTCCTGGACTGAGATGATTCTTTCATCCAGTCTCAGAGTAGCCAAGACCACAGGCACACATCACCACACCCAGCGATTTTTTTTTTTTTAGAGAGAGACAAGGTTTTGTCATGTTGCCCAGGATAGTCTCGAACCCCCAGCCTTAAGCAATCTGCCCGCCTTTGCCTCCCAAAGTTTTGGGATTACAGACATTAGCCATCACACCCGACCATAACTAGTATTTCTTAAGCAACAAATAGGACTGCCAGATTTAGCAAGAAAAAATTACACCACACCCAGTTAAGTTTGAACTTCAGATAAGCAAAAAATAATTTTTCTAGTATGAGTATATCCTACATAGTTCATTCTTACAAAGAAAGATGGTTTCTTTGTGCCTCAGTTTCTTTATTTGTAAACTGGGGAAATAGTATCTTTCTCATGGGGCTGTTATGAGGATTAAATAAATCACAGCATGTAGAGTGTTTAACACAGTGTTAGGCTTCTAATAATGGTCCACAAATGACAGCTTTTATCAGAATTAGCAAACTGGGCAACTATTCTGCCATAATAACATGTTACTCCGACAGCTTTTGCTTCATCCCTTGATGATGTCAGCACATACTATTTCTTCTCTGTAAACAGACAGGGGAGAAAAGCCGTCCCTCTAGGATTTCCTTTCTTTTTTGCCCCTTGCTTCACTCCTCCACTTCTCACCTGACTTCTAGCCATCATCTCTCAATTCTCAGGCCTTCAAGGGGACAGATCTTCAAAGCAGGATATGTGGATCACAGTTCCATTTGCCTTGAAGCTGCTAGAAACAAATGCCTTATTCTTAGAGGTCTTAATGCACCGCATTGTGAAGTGGGCTTTCAGCAGCAAATAAGTGCCCCGTTTTCTCGTATCTGGGCATCACTTGGGCTGCTCACGTCTGACACACTGGCAAGGCTGCTAAGTGCATGATTTGTGTGCTCTGAATTGTGCAGTCACCCTGGCTTGTGCTGGAGCAAATGGAGATACTGCTGTATACTGAACTGCTTTTCAGGGCGAGAAAATGAACTTGGGCCATATTTATACAGTCATGTGATTAGCTCTTCGTTGGCTGTGGCTTAGAGCATCCCAAGAGTCAGTAAATTTTAATACCAAATATTTTTCATTGCTTGGGTTTGGAATGTATCCTATCCCATTTGCAAAGTTAACACTGCATATTTTTCTTATCATGAATGATAAGTTGCTATACAGAGAAACAGAGACATCATGGGTGTAACATAAAAAATAAAAATCACCTATGACCTCTCTAGTCAGGGATGATCATCAATATTTTGCATAAATCCCTATAGTACTTTCTCTATGTACTTTCAGGGGCGAATACAAATTTATAATATTGCATATATAGATTTTGTACTTTCTCATTTTATTTCCTTCTTTTTATTATACAAGTGGCACATGGAATCGTTATTAAAATCATCATAAAGGTAAAGAAAACCTCCCTTAAATCTACTACATAGAGATAACTATTATAAAATTTTGTGATTCTCTTTTATGTTGATGTATACAATTATATAATTGTTTTTAGTAAGCATAATATGGCATACTTAGTTTATAGTATGCATTTGCCTAGTCATATTTATTTATACCAACATCTATCCCTGCAAATATATTTATAGGGATAGAATATGTTATGTATAATACTACATTATAGTATATAAGACTTATAATAGTGAGAATTTGTTAACAACTAAAGGACTAATAGTAGGAGGTTTACTAGTAAAGCACAGAAGAATCATACAAGGAATACTATGTGGTTATTATGGTATTTTAGAATATTTAGCAATTGGGAAGATATTCATATTATTAAATGTTATGTTAATAAAAATCTGGTTACAAAAGAGTTTGCAGAATATATCCTATTTCTGTTAAGAAAGAAACAGATTTATTCATGCCTTTTTGCTTTTTTCTTTAAAAAACATTAACAGTAGTTCTCTCTGGATAGAAACAATTTTATTATATACGTTTTTCTGTATTTTTTTTTTACACTGAACGTGTACTAATTTCATAGTGAGAAAAACAAATTCAGTATACCTCCCCTTCTCATTGTAGGTATTACAGTGGAAGTAGAAAAAGGTAAAACAATGTGTTTTCATGTGGTAAATAATTTGAGAGTCTAGATTCACAATAGAATCTTGGTTTTATTTTTTATTAAAATTGTAAGGTTGAAAATATATTCTAGCAGAAAGTAAAAACTGTTCCCAACTATAATAAGATAAGCAGTGTATTTTCTTAAAGATAATTGATGGTGAATTCAATCCAATTCCCCATGGCTGGGTTGCCTGGAGTCATTCTTGACTTTATTATCACACTATTTTTCTTGACTCAGTGTCTTGAAGCTTTGTGAATAAGAGAGTCTAAGGAACATGTGGCTGTTAATATGAGTAATGACTTTTTCTTTCTTCTTACTGGTGCTCTGAGTAGTTTATCATCACTTGCGGCAGCTTTTAAACACAATCTTATCATCTGTCTTCATTTTCTCTTTTGTACAGTAATTCCAATTGTCTTCCATTAATTTTTGCATGTTAACCTATTTGGCCTAAGGGGGATTCTCAACCTCAATATTAGTATAAAAAAGAAAATTACATAAGAACATGGGAATTTTTCTTAGAAGAATCATTTTGAGATGCTGTTGGCATATGAAATAGTATCCCAAATGGGAAGATAATATCTTTGTTAATCAAAAAACTATTTAAAAACTCAATTAACAGAATATTATGCTATATAATTAATCTTCATTGCATTTCACTGATTTCTTTCCCATCTCCCCAACAAAGGAGTTAGTAAGTCCTTGAGTTTCACTGCAATAATCGATAGGCTGAATTTCATAATATAAGGTTAGTTTGCTACAGAAGACAATTAGACATGTTTCCTCTGCCTGAGGTAATTAAGTCAAAATTATCAGAAGTCTCTTTTATTCTGAGTAGTGTTGAATCTGCAAAGCCTGTTAGTGAAACTTAAATAGTAAAATTAAAAGAAAAGAAATTGAAACAAATGTATGTGGTTTGGCTTCCAAGAAATCCGGATTGCAAAATGTAAACAGAACAATAAATATAGTTCTGAGAAAGAATCAAACTACTTGGAGTCTGGAAAAACAGATGAGGAGAGGTGTGGTCATGAGGAGATGGGATATGCTTGGCTAACCCTAAACCAGCTGCTTCTGAATTGTCATTTTTAGACTTCTACAATGGCTTTATATTTGAGAGATTTGGGGTTCAAATGCATTAAATAACTTCCCCCTTTTTTCCATAAGATTAATATAAGACTGACTGTAAAAACTTTACAAGTTATAATGATAAAAGGAGCAAATTTACAAGTTACCCATACTGTACAAAAATTAATCATGATGAACCTTATGGTGTATTTCCTTCCAGTCTTTAAAAATACTAGTTTATGTTTGATCACATTATTTACACTGTATTTTTTCACTGGAAATATGAACATTTCTCTTTCTTTTTAAATACCTTGCTTCTTCCTTCTCAATTTTAAATTAAAATGTATATTCCTCATAGACTCACATATGAGATAAAATAAATCATTCTCCCACTCGTTTTCTTGGGAAAGGGTGTTTAATTTTTAAATACAAATCCTCTTAATTGTTATGCTATTCAATTAGCACCCTTTAACATATGACTTTATGCCAAGTTGTTTTGAGCTTAGATGGCTTCTTTGAGCAAGGACTTAAGAACCTGGAGGTTAGGTAATTCCCATATTTAAAGACTTACCCAGTGATTATGTAATTTGTCTCTCTATTCAATATCCAACATTTTCTCTCTCTGACCTATTTATATCAACTCCTCCTCATACAACAAAGGGTATAAGTATGGAGGGAGATAGGGAAGAAAATCCTTTCTTGATCAGTTTTTCGATAAAGTTCCTATCTCTTCTTGATTTGTGCTCCTATCTTACAACTTAATTTTTGTCAGAGAGACATACGCCATCCGTTTTACAGACCCTAAAATATATTCAGGGATTAATAACTTCTATTCAATATGCCAACCTCACAGAGACAGCATATTGAGTATCCTGAAATGTATTCCCAGAATAACATTCAGTGAATCTTAAGACAGGAAGTCGCATTCCTAAAACACCTGCAAATAATCTGCAATAGACTGAAAACTGCAGATAATGGACCTCACATAATTGGGTCATAAATTTGATATTTTTAAAAACAATAGTTACTATTTAGCGAGGGCCTAATCTGTGTGTGCCAGGCACTCTGCTAAGCATCTTGCAAATTTTATTTCTAAGTTTTTCAACAACCTGCATGGTTCAAAGGAAAATTGAGGCTAAGAGAGATTGAAATATATAGCTTGGTTGACTGCATTTTTGAAAATATCAAACAGGAAAAGTCACTTCCACCTACCATTAGTAGACAGAAGAAAGTAAGCTGCATTCTGCTGGGGGAGCCATCTTATTTTATTGATTTTTTCTTCTATTTCTAAACTCTTCAGGTAATCGAACTCGGGTTCATGGCTCTGGAATGTGCTGTAAACATTGTATTCACCCCTACGATGAATCTGATTTTTACTCTGTAGGAAAGGAAAAAAATACACAAAAGATTAAATTATGTTGGCCAACTGCAAAACTCACCAACTCCCTTTTTTCCCAGCCTAGTCATTAGGGGTGGGATGAGGGCAGGGCCATGATAGCCACTGGCACCTCTGAAACACACACACACACATGTGCACATACACACACATATATGAAATATATATACACATTTATATATAAAATATATACACACACATATATACACACATAAAATATATATAGTATATATACATATATAAAGTTACACACATGAACTTCTGTACTATCATATAGCATATATAATATATACATAGAAATATATTAAAATAGAACAAAATTTTAAAATCAATATAAATAGAATTTCTAATATTTTCTTTTGCATCCGAACAGATGCTGCAGTCACCCTTCAGAGTGAGCCATCCCACGGTGGCATTCGTAAATATTTATACTGACCCCTTACAGAGAGTTCAAAGTTGTAGCATCTGCGACTTTCATTGGCCTTTTAAGATCTCACCTGATTCTCTTGAAATCTCTAAAGTAAGTGGGGCAAGGAAATAGACAAAAGAGGCTCAGATATTAAATGACTTCCCCAAGGTCTCACAACTCATAAAGAGCAGATTTGGGTATCAGATATGCCCCTGCTCCTCTTTTTTTTTTTCCAACATGAGTGACAAAGCATGTCACTCATGATGCTACCTGCATCATTAAGGAATGCTGAGACTTTACCTCTTGGCTTTCCTCTAGCACTGATTATACAATGAGCAAACAGCAGGGACTACATACATGATGAGAAAATTAAGCACAAGGGCAAGGGTCTGCAGAAAGGGGCAGAAAAAAAAGAAAGGGAGAGAGGAGAAAAAACAGGATATGAAAGAAAGGAGAAGAAGAGGAAAACGAAAAGGGAGGTTTTATTTCAGATATTTTAGGTCCTTATTACGAAGAGCTTTAAGATGCAGGCTTTGAAAAACTGTTCAAAAATTCAAATCTGAGTCTTACTAAATATTTGTTATAAAAGCCTGACTCTTAATAAAAGGCTTAATTTTCAAATGTATATTCCTAGGTGGATATAAAACATCCAAACCCAAATCTCAGCTTATGAACTGGTGATAGTGCTGAACCCTGGGTGTGACATGTATTTGTGCGGTCTCTCTGGGTGTGTGCCTCCTGAGAATTCACTCCTGGAGTTCACCCACCGAAGTCAACAGCAGGTCTGCCTTAGATGATGTCACATGGGTTTGTTTCTCAGATTTAGTGTTCGTTTTAATCCTAAGACTGGCCACAAAGCTTAACAAGTGTTAACTGCAGGTTCTTTATCCTCACTGATATTTATTTTTTATTGAACAAAACTACCCGGCTTTAGAAAATGTGTTCCCCATCATTCTACGAATGAATAAGGCTTCCCAAATATATCACTAAATTAAAATAGGTGAAACCTATAAATAGCTAACGGAAAATGTAGAGCAGAATATTACTGGCAACATGCTGCCTTGGGTAATTTATGCTAAATAGCTCCTCTGGTTCCTCTTTATCATCACTGTGAACCTAATTGGGTTTTTTTTTTTTTTTTTTTAAGGAAAAGCTGGAAAAGGAGGTTTGAAAATCAATGTTCAAAAGACTTTAAATCCTGACATACTTGGTACTATCCTGCTTATTTGCAGAGAGAGCCAGTCCACCTTAACAATAAATTTATAAGAGTGTTGATTTGCTACCATCCAAATCAGACTGTCAAGTGTGTGTAGTATGTGCCAGACCAATTAGCACTAGGCAGCTCTGGAAAAGCAGGAAAAATTCCAGGTCACGAAGAGCTATTAGTTTCTACTTGCCAACCACATTTTCGTGTTTCCAGGGCCAATGGAATAGGCTGGATGCCTGATTTAATACTGAACACTTGAATTTATACAGAACCCCGAGGGATTACGATGCCCTTATAGAAATTAATTGCAAATAATGTGCAATTACCAAATATATCACCTCTAAATGAGGCTTTCCTTTTTTGAGGGGAGGTGTAACGCAAATGGCTTTGAGGCACAAAGCAGGCTTTAAATTGCTAGGGAAGTCTCTTGTGAAACCTTTCTCTCACACTGGGCCTCCCTCATGCTTCCCCAGTGCCCGGTGAATCTCAGAGGCAGGCAGTGGCAGATGGGGGAGTTACTAGAACACAGACTGGCCTGCTGGAAGCTCCAAGACCATGCCAGGGGAGGCCAAGGAAATCAAATTGGGCCATAATTCCATGCTGTCAAACAGAAGCAGACACCAAAAAACTCAATTTATATGAAAAAGAGAAACAATTCCTAGTGGAACTCATGTCTCAGGAAGAAATGGGCTTATGAGAGTCACTGCAAGTTAGAACTCTTGCTCAGAAACGATCCTATATGTAGCACTCAGCTCCAGGGCCCTTTGTGTCACCTACAGTGACACAGTGATGTGTATCATATGCTTTACTCAAATGCCAGTTTGTGGCCTTTGACTCCCTTTGGTGAGGCAAGCTAACATTTTCTTCTCTCCCGACCCAAGTTGTCCTCTTTACATCTGCTGGGAAATAAACTATGTTTTTTTCCTCCTATGTATTCCGGCAGGACCTGAAATGAAGGGAGACTGAATTTCAATGGCTCTATGACAGATCCCACTGAAAAAGGAGGAGTTACGCTCAACAAGCACCCATGTGAGAAGTGAAGTTGTTTTGGAGGTATAACATTCAGGCTTAGAAAGATAAGGCCATGCCCAGAAAAGGCTCTCTTTAATGGGGCTTTTATGAGTCTGAATGTTGATGTTAATGACTTTTTGGCAGTTTTTAGTTTTCAACCGAAGTAGCAGGGTTAAGGGAGACACATAAGGATTAAGGAACAGTAGGAGGCCTCCTTTAAAAAGAGAAGAAATGGGCATTTTGCATTCACTACCACTTACCTCCTGCTCTCGTTGAAATATTACAACCCGACCCCCCTTGTCCCCTGTCGCTAGTAATTCTCCTGTGTGGTTGAATTCTACCGTAGAGATAATGTCAGCTGCAAAGAAGAAGACAAAGGCAATTTAAGTAACTGCACACTTACTTTGAAAGGATAGATAATAGACATACTTTTCTGTGCATTTAAGGGCTTAGGGCTTTGTCTCTGCAGTGGAATTTACAAGGATGTTAAGTTCTAGGTTTTAAATGCCACCAGAAGTGGCACATGGAAAATAAATTTCCTAGATGACCACACTGCACTGTGGTCTCCTGGAACATCTGGAGAAAATAAAAGGGAAAAGCATATTTAGACCCTTTTGTTTTAAGTAAGAGAAAATTAACTTCATGATGGCAGATGGAAACCGCGATTTTATTTGATAATTTCTACCAACCACAAACACTTTGTGCACCCATGGCCTTTATGCCATCCAAGAATCTTCCCCACACAGGTTTCAGTTGTGGCTGTTCACATCAGGGCTGAGGGCTGTGATGAAGCGAGGTTAGGATACTTGAGGTTCAGACACGGAAAATGGAGGAATAGAGCACAAAGAGATCATTGGGAAAACTCTGCGAGTCACGAATTCAAGGAAGGAACTGATGAATGCTGCCGCTTGACCCGTGCCCCTCCTTTTCTTGTGAGCTCAACACATCCTTTTGGAAGAGCATGCCTTATTTCAACCCCAGGAGAAGGGCACTGAGAAAACAAGGTCGTAAGGGCAGAGAAGTGAGGGCAATTTGTACTCTGTATTTCTAGTCGGAGAAAATCCACAGGCACCAGGAACTCAGATCACAGATAATTGCCGAAGGAATGCCAGCCTGCCAAGTCTTTTTTCCATGCTGGTTACCCCCAGAGGAACACGGACAGGTAAATTACCTATGATTGGATTTATTAGGGCTATTTTTAGAAAAATGTCAGAGGTTAATTCCCCCACAATTAGTCCCCTGCAGGGCTCCAACAATTGCTACTAAGAGTACAAATGAGTTAAAATAAAAAAAAAAGAAGCCGGGGAATTATGATGATGGCCTTTGACAGGAACATTCTGAAGATAATGTCTATGAAGAAAAGCAAAGGGAGACAGTGAGGTGGAAAACTAAGGCAATTACCCGAGTAATTCCGACCTGGAATATTACTTTTATATCATCATTTCAGGATTTTCTTTGTATGCCTGATTTGGTCAGGTATGCAGTGTGAAATTCTCCACTTCACATATAACTGTCCTTTTCCGTGTATGAAAATGCTCCTCACGGTCATTCTTTGTGTAGAAGTTAATAAAAATAAGGCATAAACCCAGGTTACTTTCAAGCTAGACATATTTAAAAGAACAATTCTCAATTTCTTGTTTGGCTTCTTAGATAACTGACCTCATAGATGGCAAATTCAGAGCCCTACAGGGCCATGAAGTAACTAACATAGATGAAGTAAAGCAGGTCAACTAGAAACACTATGCCTCCTTTAAAGCGGAAAGTGGCTGTTCAGCTTAAGCTGATTGAGGGCATGAAATATTGCATGTATTGCCTGATGTTCTAATTTTTAAAATATATATAGGAAGGTGGAAATCAGACTTTTATGCAAACATCTCTTAAAGTTTATATAATTGGCAAGTATTTTTTTCATTGCCGTGAGAATGAACAAATTAATTATGTATCTGTGGGCTGAATATAGTTTGTGGATCATCAGTTCATGACTTCTAGTCTGTAGAGTCTTCATTTGGAATAGACTACCCCATTCCATTGCTGATGCTCTTAACTGGAAACCTAGTTCATTTTTTCAAGAAGACTCCTCCAATGAATGCTACTTTAAGGAAACACAAAATAAGCAATATGGTTACTAAGTTCCAGATATAAGTTTAGAAGGTTCATTTATGTAACCAATGCCCATGAATCGAGAAGAAAGTCCAGTCAGTGAGAAAGCCAGATATCTCAAGTGAGGTATTTGACCACTTTCCTTTGTTATCATTTGCCCATCTTAGCAAACTACTCCCATGTATAAAAGAGAGAAGGCATCTACTTAACATTTGCAGTTGCCTCAGATTGCCCTGCTTGAAAAGTACCAGTGCCAACTTATGCTTCTAACATTAACCACGCTTCTGGCTTTTCAACGAGTCATTAGCAAAGGGTTCTTCATGGGACTTCCCAATATGGGTAAAGCCTGAAACGGGAATGGCTATTGATTTTCACTTTTGGTCTTTGGTCTAGCACAAAGGCTGGTCCAGTTCAAGGCTCTTGAACTGCTCGAACACAAACATTTCTCATAAAGAAAGAGTATTAAGAAATCATGAGAGGTTGGGAGCCAGACCTGAGGTTTACAATGCCCAGCTCTTATCTTAGAGCTCCATTCTAAGGTTGTGCTTACATGCTGTCTATGCCCTTTCACTGGGCAGTGATTAATGCAGAACTCTAGAGTTCTGGGTGGGCTTCAAGGTCCTTACAAAGAGAACTAAAGATGGGCCTTTCCTTTTGGTGAAGTTGGGTATCAGAAGAGAGTTAAGTAGCTTTTCCCAATGTGAGCTCTTGGCTCAGTTGCCAAGAAGATGTCACTTCAAGGGCAATAACATTTGCTTTCCCAGGGGATGACACATACATTGTCCTTCTTCCTAGACACTGAAAGTGTCCTAATTTTCACTTTAAGATCCATGCAAGTCAAAACAAGGCAGGATTCAAGTGCAAGTCAAAGTCACATGATTTAAGCCAGTGTTATTAGAATTCTGCATTTGGAATATTAGGCATTGTCCCAGGTAATAAAAATACTTCCTTTGTTTTCCAAGTGTTATTGTTCTTCAATGCTATGCCTCCCTCAAGAACCTTGTAAGAGAAAGAGTTATTTGCATGGCAGGATTCTGAAATTCCTTAGTCCTCTTGCAAAGACCTTATCTTTATTTTAATTCTACTAGCCAACTGCTCTGTACATGAACCTGTGTATATCACGCCATTGTCTACTTCCCTTCAGAGAATATGCCATGGCAGCTCAAGTTAATACTTGTTTTGAACTTTCATGTTTCCTGACTCATTTATCATTGCTAAGCCAGTAGGTGTAACTGGAATACTTTACTGCCCCATCCATCTCTGCATATCTTCATCTATGACTGTTTAATAATTGAGGCAAAACTCATGAATCACTCTACATTCCAATTTCAAGTTACTGAAACTTCTGATACAAACACTCTTGTGTTTTTAGCATGCTCTTTGGTAAGGCAGTTTAAACTGAAAAATATACTATTCAAGACCAAATAATTTTGTGATATGGAAAGAGGAAATATAATAAGGCAGCAAGTTTAGAGATAATAACGTCATTTGAAATCATGGTCAACAGAACTCGACTCATTAAGTTCAACACGGTTTTCACCTTTAAATTATACGTTTATATGACAATTCCACATTTCATTAAATGCTCAGGCTAATCATGCTGTTGATCAAGAAATTATAAATTTGAGCATTTTTCCTCTGTTCTATATAGATGTGGATAAATTTGAGCATTTTTCCTCTGTTCTATATAGATGTGGATAAAGTACACATTGACTAAAAACAAAAGCCAAAAACAACTAGAGATGTCAAATGTAGTTAAAATGATTTTTAAAGGAAACCCTGGGTGTTGTGAAGTTTGCCCTAGTCCAAATCTGTTTGTGCTGATTTAATTTCCACAAGATGGTGGCCTGGTAACCCCATTACTGGCTCAATAGGCATTATTAAGGCTGAGGTTTTTTTTTTTTTAAATCAATCTCAGCATCCTACAAAAGTTAGCCGGGCATTTGGCACGCGCCTGTAGTCCCAGCTACTTGGGAGGCTGAGGCGGAAGAATTGCTTGAACCTGGGAGGCGGAGGTTGCAGTGAGCCAAGACTGTGCCACTGTGCTCCAGCCTGGCAACAGAGCAAGACTCCATCTCAAAAAAAAAAAAAGTTCCAGACTGATAATTTCATACACAAAATATCATTTACCTGAATAACAGATATTGACTTAACAATGATATTCATGTAAGGCTAATGATTGTGAAGCTTATGGAAACAGATTAATCTCCTAGTTTATCCCTAGTCTTTTGAAGTATCACGCCAGGCTGGAGTCTATGCAATGCCAGAGGATTGAGTTGAGGCAGGCACCTGGATTATTAGGGGACGTACAGTTCACATAGTAGGGTGACTGTTTTGATAAAATGGTGACTCAGTTTAGACTTAGGATCTAAACTTAAAGTCTACAGATGAAACATCTTACTGACCAGGTCACTAGCACTGACCTCTCAACATCAATCATAGAGTAATGCAATTTAGCTTTCAGAGCCCATTAAATGTCTTATCTTTCATCTAAGAAACATTTGGTAGACAATATCATAAAGTCATTTACCCTACTTGTATCAGCTGACCAGTTCTTCCCACTCAATACTTGGCTCTATTTCCAATGATTGGATTGGGTTTTGGTAGTTTTTTCCCTCTGCTAAGACAAGAATGGAAAATAGATTTCGTAGTGGATGACAGTGGTGAACTAGTCATAGTTACCAGGTTTGTGTTGAGAAGGTTTTGCGGGGTCACTTCTAGGCTGGGGTGCCATGATTAATGGGTAATAAATCTGGGGTGGGGGAGGTAGGATGTGTATCATTTGTCATCTCAGTACAGAGGCTTCTAGCTAGACTGGCAATGACTACTTTGTGGATCATTAAACAAATGGGATTCTTAGGCATCCTGGTGGGAATTACAATTGTTCCTCCCATCCATATAAAACTATAGTCTCCTTCTTGAGTCCTGGTTCACAGTACAAAGTTAGTATCCATTTTCTCTGATAAGGTTTACTTCGGTAAGTTTTGATAACTGAAATAGTGCCTTTGAGCGTATTTTCCACAAATAGGGGGTTGGGGAGGGGACAGGAAAGAAGTCTGGTTATGGCCAAACCCAAATACTCCTACTGGGATGATGTCAAGATGACCTTGTTGAAAGATGTCAATATGTCATAAAATTTGAAAAGAATTAGTCAACAAAAGAGTTTTTGTCAAATGATTGTAATTTTGTCAAAGTGTTTTCATTTCAGAATTTATCTTTTCTTTTTTTTTGGCAGAGCTAGCTGAGGTTTTCTCTTGG